AATTACTGTCCCTCCTCGACGGGAGATTCACCCACTCACCTCTGTGCACCAACCACTAACCACCTGGGGCCCAGCCCGTCACCCTGCTTCATGGGTATTCTTGAGGCAGTGGCAGTTAGCTGCCCGGGTCCAGTCCTTAACACAACAGGGCACAGCTAGCACTCCAGGCCAGGCCATCTAAGGCCTGAGGACCACCTGCCCCACAGTCCTGCTGGTTTGCCCACCTACCTCCAGGTGGGCAGGGCTCCCTGCAGGGGCTGGCCAGGGATTCAACAGCACAGAATACCAAGGAAGGACAAAGAGCCCCTCTGCCCCCTAATAACAATGATCTCATGCACATGTACAAGGCTTTTTCTTTCACCTGAGACTCTCATCCGCGTTGTGTGCTCTCTTTTGAGGACACTGTGGCCCTCAATAGGCTGGGCCTCCTGACCCACTCAGGCACCCGAGTCAGCCTCGGAGCACAGAGCCCTTCCCACTACACAAGCAGGTCTCCACACATCTGGGCCTAGGATCAAGACACAGGGAGGAAGGAAAAATGGGCTGCCAGGCAGGGCTTTGGAGAGAAGCTGCCTGATTCTATTGGCTCAAAGGGAGGCTTGACCCAGGGCCACCAAATACATGGACAAGAGTTGAAAAGAAACCCAGGAGTGCTTTGATTCCTCCTCTTCAATGTACATAGAGGAAACTGAGGCCCATGTAGCACAGAGAAGGCCCAGACCACAATCTGACCTCAAGAGAAGGGCCAAGCAAGATGACAAGGGGAGCTGGGACTAAACAGTGAACGTGAGCCAGGCTGGCACCTAGAAAGGGAGCTGCCAGTCCTGACCGTGTCCTCTCCTATTCACAGCTGGTCTGAGCTGCTCCCTTCATGGGGCTGGTCCTGCATGTCTATGAGGCACACACAGTGAATTAGGACATCTAGGAGCTCAGAGTTGACACCGAACTCCAAGGTCACCTGAGCCAACCACCCACCTTAGATGTAACTACCTTTATGTTGTCTTGCAATGCTGGTTGTGTTGCCTCTGCTTGGATACCTCTAGGGATGGGCAACTCACTGCCTCACAAGAGAGCTTCACATTTAATAAGTTAAAAAAATGTTCAAAAGGATTATTACTTTTTTGAGCCTCAGCTTCCCTCCTTATTAAAGTCAAGTTTTTCACTAACTCTCCAACTGGGTTTCATAGAGCCCTCAGGCATTAAGGAGGTACCTGAAGAGCTCACCTGTGGGGTGAGAGGGGTAGTGGGGGCAGAGAGTGAGGCCCAGGAAACCCATGGGTGTCTAGGTTGTGAGGCTCTGTGGAGAGCTGAGCCTCCACCTTGGCCAGAACTGAATTCCTGTGGGTGACGCAGGTCTGTGGAGAAGGAAACTGAGGCAGACAAAGGAAAGGGGGTGATAGGAGCCTGTACCTCTCCACCCTCCCCCAGCCATAGCCCATGGGGCTAGGCCAGGTTCTCTGTTCAAAAAAGCACACCTCCCCCTAAAGCTCCCCACCACCTGATGCACAGAGCCAGGGGCATAGAGAACAAAACCGCATTAGTTAATCACAGGCCATGTTGGCCACGCCAGGGCTGACAACCAAGCTACAGTGTGCCAGGGCTGCACGGGGCCTGGAGAGAATGTCCTGCATGTGGTTAAAGCAAGTCTTCAGCAGTCAGCCCCGCAGCTGACTACCCAGCTGGGTTCCTTGGGCTAGTTAGTTACTTAACCTCTCTGTGCCTCAGTATACTCTCTTCATCAGTAAAATGGGCACCTTAACTTCAAAGGATGGTGAGGATTCAGTGAGAATTCACCAGTACTATGAACAAATATGAGAGAACTCAGCAGCTGCCTCCATGTTGTTGCTGCTGCTACTGACCTGTAATTCCATAATCAGGTAAAACAGAGGCACAGAACGTGCAACCCAACGTCAAACAGCCAGTTCACAGTCAAAAGCAGCTAGAGTACTACTGACTGCCCGCTCTAAGGCTAGTGCTTTGCAGGGGGAAACTGAGGCCTAAAGGTCACTCAGGGGGCAAGGGCCATCCCAGATTTGCTTGACTCCTTCCTGAGCTCCTTCCACACCCATACAGAGAGGCACACTGTCTCAGGCCAAGAGGGCATGCTCTTCCTGGCAGTGTTATTCTTATGTACCAGGGATGCCTGCCCTGTTACTAGAAATTATGTGCACACATATACATAAATGTTAGAGCATCAAAAAAAAAAAGGTCACCCTAAAAGATGGAACATAATGTGTTCTATGCCAGCCCTTGCTACACTCTGTCTCCCACATTTTCCTTCCCCACCCCCATCTTGCCTGTGTCCCCCCCAGGGGCTTCATGCCCCTTGGTGAGCTGCTTCTTGGGACATTCACATGTCAATGGCTCACCCCAGCCCCCAGCCCTGCCATCAGTCACTCAGTGACATTATACACAAAGAATTCCAAGTCAAAGGGAGCTGTAACAAGGTCATTACAACTAGAAAATGTCCTGTTTAATCACCTATTTCCTTAAGAAACAAAAAACATGGGTAAATTTGGGCATAGCTTCCATGCGAGGAAGAAAGCCCAGAGCAGCAAATGGAAAGATGCTTCTTTGGAGATAGAATACAAGAGATCTTTAACAGGTTTCCAGCTAAATCAAACTGTCTTGTCTTGGACCTATCCTCTCTGGGTGTGCCTCATTAAAAAGCCAAAGTCCCAAGGACAGTTCTACCCAGCTAACCGGCTCCACAACGCTGAGGTTCAAGGCAGCACCCGGGAGGAAACCGGCTCCACGCCAAAGACAGCAGGGAGTGGTGGGCCCTTTGCAAAGGCTAGTGTCCCCTCCTCACCTCCCGTGCTTCAGCCCCTGCCCCCATGTTCCCTGGATGTAAGTCTGAGCCCCTCACTTCTACTTGTGTGACCCCAGGGAAGTGACCTGTCCTGTTTCCCTCACCTGTAAATGAGACAATGCCTCTTTTGCAAGGACGTGGTGAGGCTTAATAAGCATGTATGTCAAAGGGCCCAGTGCAGAGCCTGGGACCTGGCAAGGGCTCCAGCCTCAGATGGCTCCTGCCATTTCCTCATGTCCCGGATACCCCAGAGTCAAACACAAACATTACACTTCCTTCAGTACTCCACCCCAAAGACTGCCCTGCCAAGCACAGGCCACACTTGCCATTCAGCCACCAACTTACCATGTGTGCTTGGGCAAGCCCCTCTCCCTCCCTAGTATCAGTTTTCCCATCCACGTAGTAAGGCTGTTGGGTTTGGATGAACTCAAAGATACTTTGCTGCCCTCAAAGAGCCAGGGTTCTGAAGTGCCTCCCATATCCACTACTCCTTAAGACCAAACTGACACCTGCTGAATGCTAAGACTGGCCACAGCTGCAGCACCACCATGGCCACCACCGGCCCTGAGGACGGGAGCTGGACCCAGACTGGCTCGGCCCCTGGTGCTCCCACAGAGCTGGCGTTTCGCCAAACCAGGTGGTGATGGCATATAGGTGGTTGATGATGGGACGTGGGTGGAGGTGACAGGATGTGGGCTGGGTTGATGGGATGTGACAATGGGAGCAGATGTAACTGCAGTCCTGAGGTGAAGACTCCACCAGCACACCGGCTTCCCTGAGTTGCTGGAGGACAGCAGGCTGACCCTCATTGGGAGCGAAGCCCCAGACACATGCTCAGCTCTCTGCCTCTTGCCTCCCACAGAGGCTGCTTTGCCAGGAGAGCTCAGGAAATGGGAGTGAGCATGAGGCATGAGGCACGCCCCTACAGAAGTCTGGCCTAAGTCCCTCTGGTCAATCGCTCCCGCCCTGGCCCGTCACCAAGTGACTAAGTATTCTATAGGGCACACTAGTGGCCAGAGGATCACTGTCCAGGAACAGAACATGAGGCAGAGTACTGGAAGCAGAGGCTGGACTTGCACCCAGATCCTTCAGCAGCTGTCCACGTGGTCTCCGCAGCCCTGTGAGCTAATACTGGGCATGAGGTCAACATATACTTAGTGATCAGTAAATGTTGCTTCCTTTCCCTTCCTAGTCTAACTCAAGAATAATCAAGAGGAAGTGCTCAGACATGAACACCAAACAAACAGTAAGTGGGCCACAGAAGGAGGCATCTGTATCCCAAATTCCAAGACACACAGGGTACCATTTCACCAGGCCTCAAAATTTGGGCTGACTCTCAACCTGCTCCTGGTCAGCCTCCCACACTGTGCAGCACGTTGTGCCCCGGCTCACATTCCTGCCTTGTGCAGGATCAGAGGGGGCCAACCCACAGCTGTTCTTCTGTCCCTGGACTGTCCTCCTGAGCCAGGAGGACCCCCATGGTGGCGCTTTCTCCCCACAGCCCTTCCGGGCTCCAGGTCTGTCCGAGATGGGTGATATTTGATAACTGTTCACTTGAAGATACTCCAAGTATTATCCTGGTGAAAACAGGCCCTCAGGACACCCTGCCACATTCTTCTGGGCCCCACGCAATTGCTCTGACAAGATTTTACCATCAAGGGCCAATAGGAAAACAGCCATAGTGAAAAGTTTCTGTATTTCCAATAAACCTGCCATGTAGAAACAGGGCTCTTTATGCTGATTCCAGCCCCAAAACAAAAATTTCCTTGTATGGATAATTTATTCCAACTGATCTAGCCCACCTGCTTCTACTACACAATGAAAACAAGGTGACCCAGCCTGTTTCTCTTGTTGCCCTGGTTGCTAGGAAGCTCCATGCTAAGTTTTTATCTCAAGTATTGTATCTTTCTGCAGTCAGGAATTCCTGTTAGAACTTTCCCTGCCCTTCTCCCCATTCCCTTCTTGGTCCCTATTTTGGCTAACTGTACTTGGTACCCTGGTATTGGACTTTCACTGTACCCTTCCAGGTTCTTCCTGCTGTAGGTGAAACATGAACTGGTAAAATGGGTGCAGATGCAACACAGTGTTGTCCCCAACCACCACCTGGAAAGCACAAACATTCCCTTGTTGAGGGTGGCCAGGGACTGCCTGCCAAGATGCAAGTCCCTGTGTTAGCAGCTCTGCTTACCTGTCATGATCCTCTGGGCCTCATAGGGCTCCATGTAGCCGGCACTCTCCCCCTTTCCCACTTTGCTCTTGAGATCATTCTTGGCATCAAAGGGATCTGAGTAGTCATCAGCAATGGTCACCTGCAGGGAGGAAGATGGCAGGGGTGTGAGTCCACCTTTGGCTTTTTTGCTTCACTTCTGTTCACAGCCAGGCAGGCTTTCTTCCAGCAAACATAAACCGAGCCTGTGCTATACCAGCAAGGAGGGGGCACTAGTGCTCACCCTCAGGGAGTTCCAATTCTTGTACGGGTTATAAAAGAACCTGCACTGTCAGTGCCGCATTGACAGGGAGGGGCCTCTGAGCCTGTGCATGCAGTGGGGCCTGCTCTGGACACAGTTAAGTGAGAACAGAAGAGCATCTGGGCAGAGAAGCACAGAGGCAAGAACCTGGAGGGTGTCTTGGGGGAATGTGAGTTGCTCAATCTAATGGAATGAAAATGGAGGAAAGTTGGAAATGAGATCACAGAAAGCCTAGAAATGCTGATAACACTGCTGGTGCTGGCTGAGGCATAGAAGAGCTTCTCTAGAGATTATTATGTTCAGTGTTCCATTTTCTCCAAATCTGGAACACAATCATGCTGTGGGTAATAAGACAACAATTTGATGAGATCAATGCACCGCAAAGATGGCCGTGGCCCCAGACAGGTCCAATGAAAACATAACAGCAGCTCAGGATGGCTGGATGGACTGCCAGGGCCAGAAAGGGCATTGGAAGCAACAAATGGGAAGACCCTTCAAAAAAAGGTTGGGAAACTGAGGTCCAGAGGGGCAGGAGCTCAGCTAAGACCCTCTGCCAGATCCTCTACCTCCCAGGGCCCTTCCTGACTTCTTTAACCTGTGTGTATTCCAGAAAACACTGAGGTTCCACAACAGAGGAAGTCACTTGGGGGTACATAGTAGGGGAGGGAAGGGAGACATATGAGAATGTATGTGAGAGCCGAACACTTCAGAGAAAAACTGCCATGATCTCCCTGGAGAAGGGTTGCAAATTCTTCTCAGTTGGAGCCTACGAGGAAGTACGGCAAGGCTTCCTCCCATTTCCTACTTCATAACCTTCACGAGGGCCGTGCTTACCAGAGAGTAAAGGAGAGGAACCCACTAAGCCTGTTCCCCTGCGAAGCACCCCAGCTTCACCACAAACTCGCTGTGACTTTTGCTGAGTTACCTGCCCCTTTGGTCTTACATCTGGCCATGAGCAAGTCTTCACCTCCCAGCCAGGGCCACCCAGCTGCTTCTTTTGGGAGGGGACAGGTCAGCCTTTCTCTATACCCTTGGCGCTACATGAATTGTTATTTAAATTGTGGGTTTAATTAGAAACCACAGGAGCCTCCTTTCTCTCCCAGTTCCTGGAATGTAAGGCATCTTAGGGGCCAGTAAACCCACAGGAAGGGAAAACCCCCTTTTGTCTGCCTGGTAAATGGCAGCTTGTGGCAGCAGCCCCAGCATGGTGAGCGAGTGACCTCCAGCTGCCAGGAATGTGATGCCAGAGGGACAGTGGGCAGCAGTACTGTCACTGCGTGTGGCCAGAAGCTGATGGGAGGCATAGCACACAGGGCATTGCTCCCTGAAGAAGAGCATGCTTATTGGTGAAAGATCCAAGGCTGGAGTGCCCACCAACTGAGCATGTGCACCCCGCGGCCACTGCTCCGTCAGTGCTTCATCACACTGTGGGTCAGGCTCTGAGTCCCAGAGGGGCTGCTGCCTGATGCTGACATTGTAACCATCACCTTTCTTGAGACTCAGTCAGCTCAGATGACACTGGGCAGGGGAAAGATTGGGGTGGGGGAGAGCTAGGCCTGGTCATGGCTTTCATTTGATATTTCCACTCTACTATTTGCAGAACATATTGGAGAGAAAATTATACACATGAACCACTGTCGAACAGAACAGCTCAGTCGTTGATCCGGTATAGGGTTTTGTGCCTCAGAGTCCAAGGGATCAGGAGTCCAAAAGGAGAAAATGACGAACCTGCTGTGGGTGACATCTAATCTCATTTCTCTCTCCCGGCGTTCCTGCCTTCCTTATTGTCTCTTTTTGCAACATGAACATCCTCCATCTATTCTGCAATAAGGAAGGGAGCAAATATTTCTCCAAGAAAACAAAATCATTTTCGGGGATTAGCTGGGAAGGGAGAGGGCTGCAGTCTCCATAATCTAGAAATCAACATTCCAGCTCCTCTCGGAAGTGCTCTGCCATGTGCAAACACGGAGGCTTGCGGGATATAAACCAAATCTTTGTTCGCCCTGGGACAGTAGCTCTGGGAGGCCTTCGGTTCAGCAGGCACTATCAGTATTTTATAATTAAAATGAGATCTGAGCTTGGGCTGTCATGAGGCCCCGAGCTGCCTGCCTTGCTTACTTCCGTTTCAATAAGAATTTACAAATCCTAAAACCAGGAAAAGCCCCTGGTCTCTGCAGACATATGGTTCCAGTTATACCTGCTGACAGTTGAAAATCCTTCCATTAAGAAAAAAAAAAAAGTTTAGAATTCTGTTAGTTTAAGAAGCGAATCGGAAGGTTCCTAAAATGTACATTTAATCAATTTGCTTTCCAGCTTCAAAGTAAGGTTGGTGAAGGGGAGGGAATTTGAGGTTTGAGCAACCTGAAACTCAGCAAACACTCACAGAGCTGTTTGACCTTTTGTAAAATCATGTCCTGGTTTTGGGAGTAAAAATTTAACCAGGTATTAGGAGAGCTGAGGGGGCAGGTAACCAGAGGGCCATGCGACATGCCACAGGCTCTAGCCACAAGCACTGGGCAGTGAGACACTCTCCAGGCGGACCAGGGCACACTTTAAGTCAGGGTTGCAGCGCAGGGTGCTTGAGTGAAGGCTGCTGATTTTCTGAGTTAAAAGGAAAGAGAATGAGTTTCCCCAGATGTGAGTTTGGATTCTATTGGGGTTGATTTTGCTTTGCTTTAAAATATCCCAAGTAGTGAACAAGTCCCTCAAATCAACAATTCAACCAAAAGCGATCCAGCTGAGCCTCCTCTGCAGGTTGGGCCACCGGGGCACACGAGATTTCCTTGATTCTGATCTTGGATTGGCAAGGATCTGAGAGGGCACTGGACTCCATGTGGCCTGCTTGTGGTTCCATGGGGGCAGGAACAGAGCTAATAAGAGGGAATGCAGGCCGTTGGTCCCACCACTCCACTGTGGAGCTGAGCACAGCAGAAAGACAAGCTATTGGAGTACAGTTGCCTTACCAGTGGGCCACATTCACTTTCTTGGCTTCCTGTGATGGGTGCTCTGGCCCATCTCCAAAAAAGAAGCAGGGTTATGGTTAAACCCCAGGCAAACCTTTTCTTGCTTCCAAACAAACTAGACCCCAGGTCAGCGCAATGCCCTGTAAAGCCTTTCATAGGCTCATAAAGCAGCAGAACTGGGGGTTCCTGAGATACCTGTTTCAACTTCCCCTTATTTCGTACACGGCCCATTGCAACCCAGAGCTTTCTAGAATTCCACCATGCTCGCTGCCTCTCTGACAAGGCTGTGAGTTGGCTCCACATGCCTCCTGGCTGGTTTGCACACACTGATGGGCAGAACTGGTCCCTCCTTTCCAGAAGTCTGTGGCCCAGGTGTTTTTATCTTGGGGATTTAGCTTTGTGACAGGAAGTAGTCCTCCTGCTTATCCTCAAAGGGATGTACTAGAGCAAGGTGGCCGTTGCCACTTGACCACACAGCCATATGCTTTTGTGAGACAGTTGCACCTGTGTGAGGCCTGGATCCTCTCCATGTACTCTAGGTGGAAAGGCAAATTGGCAGAGCCACTCTGAAGGATCACTTCTGGCAGAATCTATTAAAATCCAAAAATGCGCATGGCCTGACCCAGCAACTCACCTCTCATTATTTATTTCCAAACGTACCCAGGGAGACATGGGTAAGGATGCTCACTGGAACAAGTAATAATGAGAAACTGCAAGCACCTGCTATATTCATCAATAGGGGAATTGATAAATAAACTGTGCCAGGTTCACACTATGGAATATCATGCAGCAGGTTAAAAAGAAAAGCAGTCACTCTATATGCACTAATATAGCTCTCCCCAAGATAGTTTTGAATGGAAAGAAAGGAGAATGTATATTGATAACTACAATATGATACCTTTTTATGAAAAAATGAAACAGAAACCTTTATCTATATTTAAAGAAAAAGTCTCGGGAGATAAACACTTCAAACTGATATCTCCTCTGTGGGGAAGGAAGGACTGTGATTGGGTGGTTAGAGGAAATTAAAGGAGACTTGTCCGTAGCGTCTACACATTTTTCAAATACAGAAAAGATACTAATGTGTTATAATAAAAACTGAACTTTTAAAAAGGTACTCCTCTTCACAGGTAATTTCTGTTACAGTGGATAAACTGTTGTCCAAACTTGCCTGAACAAAGGAATGGCCTGGAATGCTTGTTAAAAAAGCCAGATTCCTAGACCAAATAACCTGTATATTTAATAAGCACCTCAGGTGATTTTTACAAGGAAAGTTTGGGAAACTTTAAGCTAGAGTGAGCCCTCTACTGAACCAGTCTAAAGCTAAGCCTCTAGATAGTACTCTGGAATTTCACTTTTTCCAGATATTTCTCAGCCTTGTTCATTAAAGTGAAGCAAGAACGTTAAGTACTAAACACAACTCTCTCTTGCCTTCCTCCCTGGGGGTCAACTGGAGTTAAGAGATAACCCAACATGTATTGGTCTGTCTCCAAAATCTAAGACTCAAAGGTAATAGCCTTCTCTGTGCAATTCTGATTGTTGGCCCTGGATTGAGCAATATGGCCTGGGCAGGAGGGGGGAGGGCTATGCAGGCAAGACACTGTGCTGGCCCACGTGGGGAGCCTGGGCCTGACACTGGTCCTGGCTGTGAGGACTTGCATGGTTCTCCGTTCAAAAGCATAGACCCTTTTAGGCTAAGTCTAGCTGGCTCTCAGCAAATTTTCCAGGAAGATCTCCCAGCTCCAGGTAAGGCTGGTGGGACTGCAGAGGGGAGCCACTGCTGAAATACAGGGCATCCCTGCTCAAATCACTCAAACTGCTACAAAGGAGGGACAAGAGAGGTGAAGCAGCCACCATCTTCCAGGAGTGGGTGACCTG